TCTAGGTGTATGTATAACTAAAAAAAATCTATTTGCATTTTAGAATCCCAGGGACTCTATAAAGCTCATTTCCCCCTGATTGAATAATGTAATTAAACATCTTTCTAGAAAAAATATTTAATACTGCATGATCTCACATATATGTGGAATCTAAAAAAACAAACTCATAGATACAAAGAACAGATTGGTGGTTGCTGGAGATGGGGGTGGGTGAAATTGGTGAAGGAGGTCCAAAGGTGCAAACTTCCAGGTTTAAGGCAAATAAGTTCTGGGGATATACAATAAAACATGATGATGTGACTATACCTAACCATACTGTATTGTATATTTGAAGTTGCTAAGCAATTAATCTTAAACATTCTCATCCTAAGGAAAAGAATTGTAACTATGTGAGGTGATGGACGTTAACTAAACTTGTGGTAATCATTTCACCATATATACATATATTGAATCATGTACACTTTAATACAATGTTATATATCAATAAAAAAATGGAAAAAAAAGGCCTGAAAGCTTTCAGGGTTTATTTGTTAACATAGCATCATAGTCTACCATTTTCTGATAAATACAGAGTTTTTTTTTTTTAAGTTTAAGTAATAATCTCTATACCCAATGTGGGGCTTGAACTCACGACCCCAAGATCAAGAGCCACATGCTCTACCAACTGAGCCAGCTGGGCGCCCCTGATAAATATAGAAATTGACATGAGAAATGAGGTGCTTAGTTTTCCTGGATGATCAGTAATGAAAGACAGGAGAATCCTGTTGAAGACTCAGCCAACAGTTAGCACTTCTGTTTCTGGCCAAGTTGGAGTAGCAGGACCAGATTTACCTTCCCACTTGAAAAAAAATATGTGAAAAAGCAGGTGTCAGCACACATAACATGAGGCAAAAAAGGCCAGTGCTCCCTGAGAGTAGGGAAGCTAACAAGGTAATCCTCAGCTTACTGCCTTGAGAGAATTTTCAGGCCATAAAGAAGTACCAGGAAAGAGAGACCTGCATGGAGAGAGAATTCCAAAGATGTTCAGAGGGTCCTGCTTGAGTATTTAGCAAAGTATTGATTATCACATGTATATGAGGAACCTACCCAAAGTCAGGGAATGAATCACTCAAAAAGGTAAGAGAAATATTACCTAATGCTCACTCAGTCCTGGGCATAGTGCCTCTTCTCACTAGCCAGACTGGAAAACCTCATAATCTTGGGAATTGTATAGAGTACTCAGAAGGATCTTGGCTTAGTTGTGGGAGATATTTATCCCTAGCCTAAACCATTGTTTTTTTCTGCCCAACAAATCTTAAAAACAAGACTCAAATGGATCAAAATGCCAGGTAACATGAATGCATGACAGGAAGAAAGTCCAGAATATTTATAGAAATACAAAAATAACCATCACCCAACAAAGTAAAATTAGCAGTATCTGGCATCTGATAAGAAATTATCTGCATACAAAGATGCAAGAAAATACAACTCCAAATGAGAAGAAAAATCAATCAATGAAAATCAAACCAGGACTGACACAGATGTTAAAATTAGTAGACAAAGCAAGACTGAGAAAAAAAAATTAATTAAAGGAGCATCAGTGAACTGTGGGAAACTTCAAATGGTATAATGTACGCGTGACTGGAGTCTCTAATATTTAAGTAGACAATGGCTCAAATTTTTCTCTTTTGATTAAAATCTGCAGATCCCAAAATTTCAATGAACCCCAGGAAACATGAACAATGTGATACCAGGGCACATCAGATTGCTCAAAACCAAGGATAAAGAGAAATTCTTAAAAGCCACCAAAGGAAAAATGCATATGATATACATGGGAACCAAGAAAATGATCCAGCAGATTTCTCATCCAAATAATGTATGAGAAGATAGAAGACAGTGTGGTAACATCTCTAAGGTTCAATTTAGAATTCCACACACAGTGATAATATCTAGCAAAAATTAAGGAGATCAAAAGGTGTCCAAAGATATAGATTTCCAGTTATAAGATAAATAAGTACTATCCATATAATGTACAACATGATTGATGAGGAGAATGAAAGCAAAAGAAATGTGGATAAAATTAAATTTCCTTACAACCTGCAGCCCATTGACGAATACTTGAGATAGGCAGAGTAGGAGATTCCTCAAAAAACAACTTTTATTAATTTTTATTTTTTTTAAAGATTTTATTTATTTATTTGAGAGAGAGCCCAAGCTGGGGGAGGAACAGAGGCAGAGGCAGAAGCAGGCTCCCCACTCAGCAGGGAGCCACTACCCGGGCTCAATCCCAGGACCCTGAGATCATGACCTGAGCCTAAGGCAGAAGGCAGACGCTTACCGCTTAGCCACTTAACTGACTGAGCCACCCAGGTGCCCAACTCACAACTGTTTTAATGTTAATGCTTTGATAGAGGCAAAAAGTAACCTTAGCTTGACAATAGCCAGACCTCCAGGATCCTGTAAGTCCTCTTTATTTAT